ATTTTCATTTAACACAGTAATATACACATTTTCCTGTTTTTTTTTTTTACAATAAAATCAAAATCAAGTGAATTTGTGAAGCAGGATTTAGTTTGCTTGTTTAGTTTAAAGCTTTTTATTTTAAAGCAATCAAACTTTAAAACTCCCAAAGTGTGAGTGTGTCTTTGTGTGTGTGTGAGTGAGACTGAATAATGTGTAAGGGAAAACAACAGTGTGATTGTACCTGTGTGTGCGTCTGTGTGTGTGTGTGTGTGTGTGCGTGTGTGTGTGTGTAAGAGAGAGTGTAAAAACAATTGCAACCTATGTAATGTCCCCACAATTCACAAAAATGAGTGTGTGTGAGAGAGAGAGAGAGAGAGAGAGAGAGAGAGAGAACTGTGTGTGTGAGAGTGTATGAATGTCTGAGAGTGGGGAGAGAGTGTACATTTAGGTGTGTGCAGGGCAGTGTGTGTGTGAGAGAGAGAGAGAGAGAGAGAGAGAGAGAGAGAGTATGTATGTGAGTGAACATGCTGAATTATCTCATCAGTGAAGGGATTTTCTGGTAAAAGGGCCTGACGATGTGAGCTCTTGTACCATAGAAACTATTTACAGAGAAAAACAGTATCATAAGCCATGTTTCTTTTCGTTCTGCTTAATCAAGTACCCCAAAAAGATTTTTAAAATAAACAAAACAATTAGTGTATTTTGACTGCTTTCTTTAATAACTACATTACACAATACTTGTACTTTTACTTTCAGTACTTGAGTAGTAAATTTTGAAATAAACTACTTGTAATACTTAAGTACAAAAAATGTTGAATACTTTTGTACTTCCACTTAAGTATGGTGCTTAAAGAGCACTTCTACTTCTACTCAAGTCAATTTTTGATAAAGCACTTGTACTTTTACTTAAGTATGGGTCTCTAGTACTTTATACATCTCTGGTAACACAACAACTATAGTACTTGATCTGTTGTGGCGATTCTACAGTTGCTATGGTAACACAACAACTATAGTGACTGATCTGCTGTGGTGATTCTACAGTTGCTATGGTAACACAACAACTATAGTACCTGATCTGTTGTGGTGATTCTACAGTTGCTATGGTAACACAACAACTATAGTGACTGATCTGTTGTGGTGATTCTACAGTTGCTATGGTAACACAACAACTATAGTGACTGATCTGCTGTGGAGATTCTACAGTTGCTATGGTAACACAACAACTATAGTAATATAAACAAATGAGTCAGTAGTGTAGTTGTCTACAGCTGTAGGGTATATTACACTGCTATACTCCACAGTTTACCGTAATTAAACTAAAGTACACTCCAGTCTATACTAACCCTGCGCCAATCATAATGGACCAATCATAACGGGTTAATTTCAATCTATCGACATGTGGAAGCGTCTTCATTATCTGATCACCGCTGTTTTCTCAACCATCTTGTTTGTTTAGTTTTTGAAATGAAAGATAATTCTGATTATTGAATCACGTTCATAAAACCACCAGTGGGAATTTATGCGCAATTCTATACAACTGCAGTTCACTGATTGGCCAGCGGTGGCGCCAACTAGCACAAGTTTCTGAATTCCACGCGCAGCCTCTTTAACTTTCCTCATAATATTAGCGTTAGCGTGTTTTACCTGTCGATGACTGTTTTGTCAGGTCGCCATGGAAACGGCCCAGATCCTGTTCCATTGCTTCTTCTACTGTAGGCGTTTGTGAGACACTGCGCGGAGGCGAGACATCTCTAAACTAGCTGAGTCTGCCTCTCACCACTTGTGACCTCTCGTGACGCAGACGGTCACCATGGCATGTCTTCAGCTGGCGTCTAAGATCGAGGAGGAGCCGCGGCGAGTTCAGGATGTGCTGAACGTCTTCCAACACCTCAGACACAGGTGACACTGTTGCTCACCTGCACTACATGTACAAGTGACGTTTATTAATAAACTAATGTCAAGAGGATCAAGTGCTTATGATTGATCACAGCTAGTCCTGTATTATATACAATATATGCCACAAGATTCCCCTGGTGGAGCTGGAGAAAGAGTCTGGGGTTCTCTCTTAAGACCGCTGCCCACATGACCTGGCCCCAGAAAAGTACAACGTTACTGACAACGTTACTGACGACATTAAGTGTTCATTATTCTCTAATTATTCACCAGCCCATCATCAGTTATTCCTTACATGGTTAATCTCTCAATATTCCTCAGCATCTCCTGCAGAAACCCAAAAGAACCATGAATCTCCACTGTCACATCTGGCGCTCAAGAACGTCTGTCGAAAGATCTGGAGGAGAGACATGTGAGTGAGTCTCATGCTGTCTGAGAGTGTCTTACATGTGTTCTGTCTCCAGTCTGATGTGCATCTGGATGTTAAACACAGTAGTGGACGGCAGCAGGTAGTGCACTAGTGTTTCCCTTTTCTCTCTCAGCAGGAAGCGCAGTGATGAGCGCCATAACACCCGCTGCATCCGGTCGTCTCCCAGACGCAGGTAACAGCTCACCTGCAGCACACACACCTGGATCTCACCTCACAGGACAGGTTTACCCAACGTCTCTCTGTCTTCCAGACGCAGACGCAGTGTCTCCTCTCCATCTACATCCCACAGACACTGACAGCGGGAGCAAGTGCTGAAAAAAGGATGATGTCATCAGGTGTAAAGGGGAGGGACCCAAAACCGACCAATCAGACCGCATCTGTAAACCCTCTTATGCTGCCAGTGTTGGGGAAGTTACTTGTAATAGTGTTAGATCGTGGTCTTGAGTTACTACTTTTCAAGGAAAGTAACGTGTAGCAGCATTTTTCAGTACTGTTTATATCTGGCCTGGGTTTGCCTGTTTGATGGAATATAATTAATAAACAAACAAGTTTTGAATGACTGAAGGAAAGGTAGATTCATGACTGCACAGTTGAGCTCAAACAAAACAAACAAGCCCTCAACTTTCTTCACAAGGTCAACATTTTCCGCGATGTTTACAGTATTCAGAGTTTTTCATTTCACAGCTGTTGTTCACTTTAAGGGACACTGTGACTCTCTTTGTGCAGGAGAGATGAGTAAACATGTTCACATGAAGCAGAACTACCTCTAGTAAGCACTATATAGACACATCTGACTTCTCCCGCCTCTGGAATTCATGTCAGACAGTACATGAGGGAAAATCAGTTTATTTTTCTTAAAGATGAACTCTGGATGAGTTTAATGTCATTAATTATTTGTATTGTGAGTTGTGAGCAATGCCTTACTAGTTACTTCACAAAAGTAATCTGATTACATAAGTCACATTACACGTAGTGCATTAGCTCTGTACAGCCTTTTAAAAGACAAGAGTTTAATAAAATTCATCCCTTTTAAAAACTGTGAGACTCTTTAGTTTTTTGTTTTTTAAAAGCCTGTAAAAGTTAGCATTAGCAAGCAGCTAAGCAGTTTGTTTGGACCCCTGATATTAATCCCTATGGGATGGAGGTGCACACGCTAATGAATTAGGCTGCTAACTAGTGTGAGCTTAATGAGTCTGGTGGGAACAGCGCGTCCCAGGTGTGTCCTAATGCATGTGTATCTCTGGTGGAATCTCGCCGGCCCCTCATGGTATCTTCTCCTTCAGCGGCAGGACCAGGATGGATGGCGTGTTGGGCTGATATATATGTGGTAACTGTGGTGATGAAGGTATGAGGTCACCGAGACGTAACAGAGAGACGCTTCATAAATACTGAAAAATCTGCAGCATTTGCAACACTCTATTGATAAAGAATGGCTACTACGGCAAAACCCCTGACCGTCTCGCAGCGCGCACTTTCATCTCCGCTCTATATCGCGTTTTACGTGATTCTGGTGCTGCTGGGGAACTTGGGGAACAGTTTGGTCATCGGGGTGGTTGGCGAGGGCCTTCTGCGGGAGCCGGGAGTCGCCCGCAGCTCTGATATTATCCTGGTCAACATGGCTTTATCCAACCTGATGGTGTCGTTGACGAGAAACTCTCTTCTGGTGATTTCCGACATGGGAGTGCAGGTATGACA